GTTTATAAAGAAGAACGAAGTAAGTGCTTTAGAGTGAGTTATTTTAATGAAATTCTTTGTAGTACGAAACAATCCCTTCTTGTAATGAATGATCTTGGCTGCCAGAAGTTTGGTTTCCACAGATCTGCTGCATGTGCTGGGAGATGAATCCCGCTCTTTTTTATCTGTTGTATTTAAGTTGTAGCTGATGTAATGTTTGATAATATTTTCTGATCTTCAGTCTGATTAAAATTATTTATTTTATTTCAGATTTGTTTGTTTGAATGAAGTTTTACTTTTAAATAAAAGAACTCAGTTAACTTCGACAAATAGCTCATTGAGATCTAGTTTTATATTAAACTAAGGCAAATAAAATGTCTTTGTCTACAAAAGTCAATTTTATTTTCGTCAAGTATAGTTACTACCCTGAGGGTCGGATATGATGCGACTTTCTAATTAACTAAATATTATTCAGGATGTTTCATAGATTATGGGACAAACTTGGAGAGGTGGTGGAGCGTACTAAAACATGCATTCTTTTATAGGAATGTAGGGTCTAAAGTGACGGGTTAAGGCAGGAACGCAAAAAAAAAAATTACACTAGAGGAAAATGTGTTTACGTACAAATCAACGCAAAGTGCTTCTTTGTAGCAATACAGTATTCACAATAAAAGTTCAAAAATGCAACCACTAGTAGTAATACATGCTTGGTAACGTCGCAGAAGAGATTGACGAACATTTTGAAAAACGACAGGCATTTCCCGCACGCTTGCAGCCGCAATGGATAGTCGTGCAACGAGGTCCTCCAGTAAGTCAACGGAAGTCCCGTAAATGATGCTCTTCAGATGATCACATAAAAAAATCCAAGCTGGATAAATCTGACGAACAAGGTGGCCATCGAACCGGTCCACCACGGCCAATCCATCGGCCCGGAAATGTTCCATCTAAGTAATAGCGGACCCGCACGTGGTTATGGGCTGGTGCACCATCATGCTGGAACCATACGCGATCACGAGCGACAGCCGGAACATCCTGCAGCAATTCCGGTAGCACCTCTTGCAGAAAAATAGGAGAACATAAGCCATTTGTACGTGCAGGTAAGAGGTATGGGCCTATGAGGCAATCATTAACAATACCTGCCCACACATTCCCGGGGAAGCGAGTTTGGAATACATGTGGACATGTACCATGTGGATTATGAGTTTCCACACGTGCATGTTGTGGCTATTGAAGATGCCGTCCTGTGAGAAAGTTGCCTCTTCCGTGAATAGCACATCCGATGGGAAATCCGCCTGCGCCGCACATTGCTGCAAGAACCAATGACATAAATGAACTCGAAGAGGGTAATCTGTCTCTTGCAAGGCTTGGACTCTCTGCAAATGGTATGGGTGCAAACCATTTTCATGCAGTACTCGAATGACTCAGCTGCAGACGACGTGCCATAGGTCTTGTATTTGTCTGAGATGAGTCATGCTCAATGTTCAAGATGGATTCTTCAATGCAAGGTTGTCGTGCACTTCTTCCTCTCCTAGTGTCAGAGGTGGCTTCAAATGACCCGTTTTCACACAGAGACCGATGAACCTCTCGATTGTGTGCTTCGGCATACGCCTGTTCGGAAACCGTTCTTGGTACAACCGTAGCGCTGCTCTCCCGTTCCCATTAGCAGCACTATTCATGAGATGCATGTCAGCTTTTTCCCTGTGCGTAAACTCACCCATCAATCTCGACATCAGAGTTGCGAATGATCTTATGATGCATCGGATCGTGGTTTGTCCGGTTCACTACCGCTGCATTGCCAGCCAATCACAGCTGTAGTTCCTATTACTGTTAGTGTTCCCCTTTTTTGAACATTTATTGTGAATATTGTATTGCTGCAAAGAAGCACTTTGCGTTGATTTTGTACATAAACTCATTTTCCTCTTATGTCGTTTTTTTGCGTTCCTGCCCTTCATTTTACAAAAAAATGCATGTTTTAGTACACTCCACCACCCCTCCAAGTTGTCCTATGATCTATGAAACACACTGTATATTATATTATCTTTACAAGGTGAATTTGTTTTAAGCGTGACTGATTCTGGTTTCTTAAGTTTACGAGTTTTTCGGATCATTAAATACTTGAAAACAATAGTTTTTAATGTATTCATCAGCAAGAATCAATGGATTAAAATAAAAAAATAGTTCTTGGAAAACATCTGCATATGTTCTTTTCTCCTTTTTTTATCTTTATCCAAGATGTCTTGAACATTTATTCATAAATGTCTATTATGTGCTGCAACCCTGTAAGTGTAAGATTAAATTTTTAATAAATATGTCAAAAATGGTTTGTAAGTAACCTTTAAAAGCGCATATAATTAAGCCTAGCCTGCCACTTTAACGTTAACTTGTAGAGACATTAGGTATTTTTTGGAAGAAGGAGGCTTGAAAAATGAGCAAAGCCTTCACCGCGAATCGAACCACGGACCTTTGGAATACGCGCCCATAATTTTAGTCTTCCCAATATTAATTAGAAGAATTTGATATAGAAGCATACTAAATAGCAGAAAAATACGTAAATTTATAATTTTATAAATGCTATTATTTTCTAAATTGTGGGGCAGCGATAGTTTCTGCGCCTATTCTTTGTTGCTTGTTTGGATATTCAGCAAATATTTTTCCTTGTACCTTCATTTATTTTTCAATTAATTTAATGCTTTTAAATTTTAGTAACTAGTTTAATCCTCAAGACATTCTCCTGTTTAACCACTATTTCAGCGGTCTAGAATATGAACTTCAATGTCAGAGCTATCTTTCTTACATAGGGTACGGCACAAATCTGTCGCTTATTTAAAGCAGAAATAAAAAAGCGCAACATAGATCCCAATTCAAATTATATTTTATCATTGTACAGAAGATGTCTGCCGTTTTACCTCGTCATATCGTCAAAATGAAGCTTTACCCTAGATGCTGAAGCCTGTGGCTAGACATTGCCTTCTGTACAGCCGCTATTTCAGTATAAATAGGATCTGTCAATTACACAGTTACCTTCGGTTTATATTTAAAACTAACTTGGAAATATCTCCAAAGAAAATTATCGCGAGAGGAAAGATCTGCTGAATAAAGTGGCTATGATGTGCCATCACATTATAAAATGAGTCAACCTAGAAATATTTCTCGAAGATTTGTGTATTTTCTTTGGGGATATCAGACACCACACAAATCAAACCCTCAAACGTAGACCATAGAGAGTTGAGGAACTAAAAATTGCTATTTGTATCTCTGCAGTACCTAGAGGCAATGATCCGATACATTCTACGGAACTTGGGAATGCTTGCGGGAATGTATAGTTCTTGAGAACGAGAGTATCTCTCAACAAATGGGGAAAAAGCGTGGCAGATGGAAAATAAAATTTAGGTTAGAACTTGCTTTATTCTTTTTATTTACATTTTAAATCGGAGTGATCTTTGTGCTAAATCCTGCACTTCTAATACATAAGAAAATACTTCGTTTATACTAAGAATAAATGCTGAATCAGCTACAATTTACCACGAGCATTTAGTATTTTAAAATTAATTTACTACATATATTTAACTTATTATAATGCTTCTTTTATAACTCACTGGGCAAAAATTAGAAGCCAATTCTTAAACTAGAGCACTTGTTTCTTGATCCATTTTTACATGCTAACCGTATATTACACGTGATTGTGAAATCATAATCGCTGACTCATTCTTTATGGATCGCTGTGATGCACAAACCAAGCGAGTAAACATGTGCAGTAGAATGGAAACGAGATCGAACATAGATTAGAAAATAAAATCATTTCAACTGGTAACTCAAACTTTGAAACAAGTTCAAGATGATTATTTAGCTCTTGTTTCCGCTGCAAGGATATAATTTCACGGTCAGTGTGCCAACACTTTTCTTTCCTTTTTGTTGTCTACAGAGAGTTAGAGTATCGTTTAAGATCGATGCTTTCAACGAAGAAAATTTCACTGTTTTCAGAAGAAGGGATTAAATTTTTTAAAAGATTATTTTAAGTTTTTTTTAAATATGTGCAGAAATAAATCAATTCATACAACTGTGGTGAAATGTTTGAATAATCTTAAACCACCTCATGCTTCTCATTATAATTTTAAACACCTTCACTTAAAGAGGGAACAAACTGTAAGTTCTCGGAATGTATTAAAACTGTAGTTATACAAGGTCCTGTTTAGTTTTACTAATAGACAGATCGTGATTTCGCTGGTGAAGAACACGTTTGCTATTTTGTCCTCCAGCTGCTAATCTTAGTAGCGGCTACGCAGTCTGGCCGTCTAGCTAGTATATCGCCGGTGTAGGCTTCTTGAGTCAACCTATTAGATTTAATTGATTTGTGTAGTCAGCATCGTTACCTTTTGAATTTATTGTTATCGTTTAAGTTCTTACCGCAAGTAGTAGGTGTTTTGTGCACGGACTACTAAATCTATGCCTTCTATACAGTTTGTGATAACTAAAGGGTATTTTACACCCTTTCCCTGTTGTGTTCATCTTCAAGCCTGCGCAAAAAGTCACCAGGTACGAACTTTATGTAGATCAAGTCAGCATTTCACAGTTAATAACATTTTATTTGCCAATACGAAATATTTCGCAATCTCTACATATCTTCAAAGATTAAAATTTCTTAATTTTACGCTTCAAGAATTTTTACAATTGCTCACTAGGTTCATAATAAAAAATATCTATTCATTATTGTTTCTTATTTCATAATCATTATTACTTTTCATCTTTATTTTAATTTTATTTTGTACTAATATATACCCTTCTTTATCCCTGTTATATAAAAAAAAATTAGAATCGTTTTTCTTTGATCAGTGTTTCAACCTATGACAACTTCACATTACTTTATTCCATTCATCGATAATAAAAATGAATGTTTCGTAAAAATGATTTCATAATGCATAATCTTTAGTAAAAATTTAATTTTTGATATGCATTATCACATAGTGCATTTTTTTTTGGCATTTCAAAAAGCTCATCTTTTTAAAAAAGAAGGAAAACAGAAGTTGTTTTCATGTTTTATTAAGAAAAGTAAGCGTAAAATACATTTCAAAACATATAAAAATAGGTTTAAGAAAAACTTAAAACAATTAAATACTTTTAACAACTATTCAGCCTTAAAGATGACTGATTACGTAGATCAAAAGCAAAGCACAAATCTTATGAAACTTTAATCATAATTCTTTTATTGACTCAAATGTACTACTACTCTCAGTACCAGAACAATAGTTAGAAATCCATTGTTGAACATTCTTTAAACAAGTATATTTATAACATCAGAGATAATTTTAATATAGTAAGCAAATGAACAAAGTTAAAAAAAATAATGCATATACTTCCATACAAATATTAAAACTTCTATTCAACTCTTAAAAAAAAAGAATTCATTTCCATTTATCAAATTAAGATTTTGAATTCCTAATTTTCCTTTATTTTAAATTCAGAATACTCTTCGACATTAAACTTTGCACATTCGAACCACTAATGGAAAGGAGTTTAAATTGACGTTTTAATTAACAAAAATTTACTTCAAAATTTTAAGTTTTGGAACAAAATAGTATAAATTTGTGTATGTGAATGTGTACATATATAAAGGCATTTTAAATATACGATTATATATGATGTGTCTAAAGTTCGCTTCCACAATTGCACATGAATATTTTACAGTTATTAAAATCTTCAATACATTTATGTCTTCATGGCTGCACGAAATTTTCACTGAAGTTAGAGAATATAATTTTATCGTTAATAAAATATAAAAGTTTTTATGATGGACATACCATGATAAATATACGCTTCATACTTAGCTAATTTATGTGGCAAATTTTTAATAAAAAGTTAACCTCTGAGCGATGGCAGGACCATAACCGTAACGTAATGAGGCATCTTTGGTGTCTACTGTTGGAAACGGTGCTCTGGCGGTTGGTGCAACAGGAACTGGAACTGGAGCTGCAGCTGATTTCACAGAAGCAGGTGCATATCCGACATCAGTGTAACGGTATGCTTGATTTGCATAGGAAGGGTATCCAAATGGATATCCTCCATAAGCAAATCTGGCGAAAGGTAAGTTTCCATAAGCATTGTTTCCAAGTCCAGTCATAATCGAGGACATATAAGGCGCAAGTCCATTGTAAGAAGCCGCATACGCAGCTGGAACTGGTGTAGGCATAATGCCGTAGCGACTGAAAGAGGGTCCGAGACCTAATGCTGTTATATAGGCAGAATAGCTTGCAGGCATAAATGTAGGAGGTATTGGTAAAGTGTAACCGGATTTACCGCTTCCAGAAGTTACAATTTCATTTGGTCCGTAAACTGGCGATCCGAAACTTTCAAACGCAATATTTTCTTCTTTATTTTCGGCTTTATCTTCTAGTTCTTCTTCCTCCCTCATCATTGCAATGTCATTCGCTTGTGAAACAGTAGAAATAAGGAAGATAATCAATACGGATATCTAAGGGAAAGGCAAAATTCGACACTTTAGCTTATGTTTTTCAATAATTACTGTTGAAAACTGTAAAAAGGGGAAATCTTCCGTACAATGTAAGAAAACAGCATTATAAATATCTTTATATTTCATAAAATTCAGTTAAGGTTATTATTATCGTTAGAATAATAATAAATAAATTTGCAGAAGAAAATCAATGCAGTTTTATGTAATTATAATGCAAAGACATTTTAGGCTCATCTGTTGCATTTAAGATCACATAAGTTCTAAAATATTAAAGCTTTTATTTCATGATGCAAAACATATTAGAAAATACTTTTAATAAAATATATAAATGAAATATGCATATTTTAATAAAATATATTTGCATATCAGAATAAGTAATTAGAAAAAGTATTTTTACACGTATAAGGACATTTTTTTAAAATAAATATCTGCTATTTGAGAAAATCATAAAAGAATCTGTAAATAAAGCACCGAATTACGGAGCGATGTCAGATTTTTAAAACCATATTAGAAATAATGATTGAACTCATAAATTTCACTTTGCTGACAGTGTTGTTTAAGCTGAAAACTAATAAATTAGTTGAAGTATTTTTGAAAGCTAATTAGAATGCGCATTTCAGCCATATTTAAAAATGCAATACTTAAATTTTTCCACTCTTTATTTGTATTACATGCGCAAGTAAACTGTAAGATAAATATTTGTTAATAAAAATATAAAGATTTGTTAATGAAAATTATTCAGTAGAATTATTGTATAAAGTGCTGTACCTTGTAATATTCCACCAGACTTTACAAAATTACTTTTTTTTGAAAAACAAGCCATTAAAGATGTATTGTTCAGCATTTAATTATAGAAGTATGTAACAGAAAACGTTGTCTAAAATTGTTTGCAATCTACAGTAGAAAGCTCTTTGATACTGGTTTAATTCTTCGTAGTACTTAATAATTGATGTAGTTCTTAAAAACATTTTATCCTGAACAGGAAGTCATCAGTTTGTTAATTTTGTAGGGTTTATTTATAATACTAGCCCAGAAATTTTCCTTGCTTTTCAGTTTCTCATTTGAGAAATAAAACAGTTTCCAATATTTTGAAATTGTATCTAGTTGTTCTAATGTAAATAGAATACTCTGTCGAAAATTATACAAAAATTGATGTTCATTTTTTAAGTATTTTTTAAGCTTAATGCTTTTGTGGTGCAACGAAAAATGCTTTCAAGAATATAATAAATGAAAATACTTTTTCTTTTAAGTCTGAACTAAAAACTCAGGTTTATTTCCTTACATTTAAATACTTCATAATGCAAATTAAAAAATATATAAAAGAAAATTCATTTCTTTTCATCAACTGCAAGAGAACTATTTATTATTTAATCATTGAAATTCTCGTATAAGCCGAGAAATTAATATTTTGAACTCGTAGTTAATGCACAAATTTCTATCATTTTAATGGAATTGTCTAATTTTTAAGAACTGACATAACTCATAAATTTAATGCATTTCTTGGCATAATTTTTATTTTCCTTGAAAATACTACTTAACTGCAAATTTGAAGCTCAGTTCAATGCTTTTTAACTGTAGTATGAAAATATATTGCAATTTTTATCATTAATCTCAGAAAGAAGAGTTATTTAAAGAAAATATAAAAAGTTCTTCATTAATAATTTAAGTACGAGTGTGAGTTATTTTTGCACTAACATTTTGTTAACTTCTAGCAAACCTATTTTCTTCGCAGCTGTAATTCTACATTTATTTGTTAATATGACTAAACGTTTACATATATATTTATTGTTTTGGGAAAAGAAATTAAATTCAAGTTATTTCAGACAATAACGTATTTACTTGCATATTCCCGCTCCCTAGGTTTTCAACGTAAAGGTTCTGAACTTTTTTTAAATATTAACGGATTTTTCTTCTTCCTCAAAGAGTTCAGAAAGCGAGCTCTCCTAAATTTTTAAATTTTAAAACTGAACACGGAAACTATATTCGCTTCTTAACTTTTTCGCGAGAAATAAAATCCTGTTTGAATTTTTAATAAATATTAATATAAAGAAGAGTCTTAAATATCTATATCAACAGACCTTTCATAAAATTGAATTGACATAAAGCAAACTTTCGTAAAGCGGAGGATATTTGTATCATAATGAGTAAACCAGATTTCTTTGTTGAAAAGGTGGTTGTGATATTATTCTTACAGGGAAGCATTAGTTTCTAAACTAATATAAATAATCTTTATAGAAACAGAAAATAAGTATTTCAGTGATATAATAACCTGTGAAAAATCTAGATTTTTAAAGTTATGTGTAATTTAAGAAACTGAGAACTGTAATAACATAGGATATTTCTACAGCTAATGTTTTTGAACATACAAAGCAAAATATTACATTCAAATGTTATATAAATTCCTCTGTTATTTCCTTCACGTATTTACAGTCTATCGGAAGACTATCAAGCGACACCACTTGAAAATGAAGACGGAGTAAAGAAAAAAATTAAAATGTACATAAGGCTTATCGAAAACGAGTAACAGATAAATTTTCTTCAGATATCTTTATGATTAGCCCCTTTCAGAGATCATACAGATGTCTCTAGGCAAAAAAATTGCAAAGTCAACATTTTTCAATTCTACAGAATTCCCATACAGCTCTTTAACACCTGCCACATTCTCACAAATGAAGATAAAAGTTATTATAAGAGCACATATTTTAGAACTTTACTTCTCGGCATTTTTAGATTAACAAATTAAGTTAAAAATTGTAAACATGCGGTACGTTATCTCGTTATTAAGTTTAGCATTTACTGCAGTTTTGGGTGAAATAACTTTCCAACAGATCTCTCAAAGAGTGGATGAACTGAACGCGCCTAAAAATCCCACTGATCGTTTCCGCATTATCCTCTCGAACACCAGTGAGAGCAGCGTTCGTGACGCAATCGAAGATTTTACAAATTATGGCTGTGAAAAAATGGTTGTCATTAGAAATGCAGCTCAAGCAGCAATCCATTTAACGTGTCAGTCTCCTCATGATGCACCAAAAGCTGTAAACATCGAGCCAGGTAATGCTTTTCTGTTCACTTTCCGCCCAAGAAAAAATGGAATGTCTAAATTCTGGTGCAATTTAGAGTACCAACATCAGTTCACAAGATTCGATGTGTACAACGAAAATCTACCTTACATGTGTCCACGGGCTATTTATGAGGTTTATCAATACACAGTACGTCACGATGGAGTATATGTCGACCACACAAATCGCAGTAGAGAAAGCAAAATTCGAGCTCTTTCAAAAGGTCACAACAGTGTTATTTTGTGGGAAGAGTTTGAAAAAAATGAAACTAATGGATTTCTTTACAGTGTGTTAGTAGATGGAGGAATGTGCGCTGATTTGGCTGATCAATTTAATGACAAACCTGCTGCCGTCACACTTTGCTACAACCACTGTGTTCATCTTTATGAACATTATGACTGCCTAGGAGAAGTTCAGACTGTCCATGCAGGTAACGACTGCACAGATACGCCCATTGTTCCAGCACTCGTTGGCAAAATGAGTGCTATTAAAGGTTGCTGAGACATGATGTAAACTCATTTGATAAATATGAGAATTAAATACTACCGAAAGAAGTACAAACTGCGACTATAAAATTATATTTCATTACCAGTGAAACTAAAATTACGGTGCTCTTTTTTATCATTAAAAGCGTTTAATTTTTAAAAACCTGCAGCTTCTATTACTGATGTGAACAACTCACAAAGTGAGCATGAAATCTGTTTTCAGTGGATGAAATCAAGTAAACAATTTTACGATTTAACTTGGACTGTTTATTACTATTATTTTTCTTATATTTTATTAATTGATGGCTACCATTGATATCAGTTTCAATAATTAAAGTTCCTTAATTTCAGTTTGTGGAATTTAATGACTGAATATATCCATCTGAATCAATAAAATTAATTTTCTGTATTACTGACTTATTCTAATGCCAAACAAACTAAATTTATTTGCTATTTTATTTGATAAATTCAATATTAAATTCGAATAAATTCATTTTGCCGACTCCCATGACTTATATAAATATCTTAAAAATAATGAGATAAAATACTCCTATCCCTTTAATTAGTTAATTTGTAAATGTATTTTATATAACATAATTAGAACATAATATTGTGAATTTTATATAATTGCTTACAGATGAATACAAACACAAATCTTTAATAAATCGCTTAGGTAGAAATAAAATTCTAGAGAAATTTCGATATAATTTACATTTAAATTCATTTTTATTTCTCATTCTAGATACATTTCACTAATAATAAAGAATTTTATACCTTTCTTTTTTTCACGTTATATTTGACATCGATAAATTTTTATTTCTTTGCTGCTTAAAAATGACATTTCCAAAAAGTTATTTCCTTTTTTCATAATATTTCATAAACTGATAAATGAAACTTTTTCTAGCATTCTCAATATAAAACATAAGTGACACTGCCGGTTATCTAAAAATGTCGGCATTTTTATTTAAAAAAATTTACGCTACTTTACAACTTATCCAGAGGAAAAAAGGTTTTAATTTCTGCATTTATATGTATGAGTTTTTATTACTTCTTTAGTTCTACAGCAGTAAACAGATATTAATAATTTATGTTTTAGTTAAAATTCTAATAACTTAACGGTTTATATATATATATATATATATTGCTCTCATCTTACTATGTAGTTAAGTTTCCATATTTCGAATGACTCCATTACTAATAAAACCAAATTTTTATTTATTTCATTTTCGATTGATAACTACCACTGCAATTAGCTACTTTTTTAATTACTTAACTGTCATAAGAACAGTTTTTTTACTTATTAGTATTTTTATTTGTTTATTTGCTAATTTCGAAACTTAAATATTGATATTTAATTCTTCATTAAGATTGGAAATAATGTTCTGCAGTAATCTGTGAGTTATATCGCAGTGTACAGCACTTTATTTAAAGTATTTATTTAGGAGTACACTGAAAAATTACTGTGAGAAAAATTCTATCGAATAACTTGTAAATTTTGGTATATGCTTCCTTTATCTTGCTATAAAATTTTTCAGTTTGAAATAACATAATATTTTTAAAAAGCTCTTCGAATTTGCTCTAAATTTCATCTGAAATTAATTACTTATTTTAACTTTGATTATAATGCATAATTTATGTGTTAAATGACAACGGAGAGTATCTCTGCTAGCTTTTAGTTGCGGAATAAAGGAAAGTTAAACTAGAAAAAGTTGTATTATTATTCTCAAACTCATTGTTTTTTATGATCTAAAATATAATTTTTGAGTTTAAAGAGTTGAACTAAAATAGTTTTACTCTTTATTGGTAAAATAGAATTGGTTTGGCTTGTTTGTTAATTGGTAAAATAGAATTGGTTTTGTTTGGTAAAACCTCGAGGGTTATCTGACTAAGAGAAGGGATACCTTCGTGTAGGACATTATAAGTAAAACTGACTCATATACTTGTTATACATGGGGAAAATTATGCCCGTTTGCGGGCTTCGAACCTAACTACCAGTATTCAAAGCTTTTACCGCTCGGCCGCCGGTGGACAGTTTATACAATTGAAAATTAGAGGTAAATTTTAAAGAATAATTACAAAGTTTTGACGTCTTTTAAAATTTTGTTACTGTGAAAATAGTTAATGAAGTGTCAAATATTTGGAGCCATTAAATTTAGAAAATGCAAGATAAAAATTTCTTTTTTAATATGTTTTATCAGTGTTGCTTCTGAGTTTTAGCTTCATTTTATTTATATTTGTTTTCTTACGCTTATGAGTTTTAAATTTATTTTAAGAAAGATTTTAATAAGTGTTAAAGAAATATCTTCAGTTTTATTCCTTATACAATGCTGATTATCTCTTTTCAAAATATACTTTTTGTAAAATAAATATATTCAAAATTTTCCCTAGAATAAAATAATCGAAAAGATTTTGTTTAAATATTCTGATGAATTAATATTAACAAAAATATGAAAATAACTGAATATTTAATCATTAATTGGATGACCTTTAGGTAAAACTACACTTTTCATGCCCTTTTGCATAGAATCAATAATTTTTTTCATATAGGAATGTACGATTTTGTTCAATTTCTCTGTCAAAAATACTTCATTTGCTCTTTTGAAGAAATGGCATTCGTTGTTCTCCTCTCCATTTCGTTCTCGTAATATCTGGTAAATGATATTATCAAATACAATTTTAAAAACACAGATATTCGAAAACAAATTTAAGCCCTCTAGGTTCACACACACACAATTTCACAAGCGATCTCTAGTACCCACCAACGGCCAAGCGGTAAAGTCGCTGAGCACTCGTAAAACTCCAGGACTCATGGATATGGACATTTTGTGGTCTTCCTCATATGCAACGTGTGTATGAGGCGGTTTACTATAAAAGTATTTCCTGAAAGCATCCCTCACTTTAGGCACATAGTTCCGGAGTGCTTTGCCATAATCAAATAAATAAAGCCAAAATATCTTTATAAATAATAAACAAAAGGGTTAATGAATTTAAAAAAAACTAAGAAATGTTGTCTATATACTAATTAAGTTAAAGAACACTTATTTCACTCATACGGGACAGGTTGGTCTACATGTCATCAAAAAATATTGATGTTTAATTACTTGTCCTTAATCGTAATAATAAAATTAATTTATTTACTTATTTTATCTAAGTTACAGAAAAAAGGTGTTATAATAATATTATTATTTTATTCATTTTTATCTTAAGAACCTTTACATTAACCACAATAATTTCTGTTGTGGTTTTATTTGTCTTTTCAAACAAGTCCGTTTTACAATGCTTCTATGCATTACAGGTTTTAAGTGTAACACATTTGGGGGCTCTGACTGATGTGAAGATAACTAGATTTATTCTGCATGTAAATCCAAAATGATAGCTTACTATTTTCAGACGTATTATTGTTGAACTTATTTGATATTTACTTTTAACTTAATATTTGTAGAAACACTAATTAGTATTTCAAATTAATTAAAATTATTTTTGTATTTTATTGCTTCAAAAAATATAGTTTACTAAATAGGATACATTTAATAAATCATTTTGAGATAAGCAGGCCGAAATATTAATTTTCACTCAATTTGTGCAATTAATTTATTAAAATTCACTTAAAAGACAACAGAGTTTCATCATTGTAATATCATTTTAGATCGAAGCAAACACTTTCCTTCAAAGTCAACGTTTAGTGTGACACAAAAGGTAAAGAAATATTATAGTTTTCCTTTTCCCCCCCTTAGTCTTCATTCTTTGATTCCATTTTAAATTTAAAAATTTTGTTTATATTTTTAGCTGCTTGTCACTGATTTTTGACTTATATTATGAATATTAACTACATTCATAATATTGACTAATATTATGAATCACTAATATTATGAAACTTAAATTTCATAATATTAAGATTTAACTAAAAATATAATATGTCTAATTAAAATGAAATCACCGTTAATATTTTCATGCTGCAATTATAAATGTTTATAAAAATTCACTCCAATGCAAAATGCATTTCAAAATTCCACATTTTAAATACATTTTTTATAATTAGAAAAAAACTTCTACATTTCGAAATTCATTGAAAATTTTCAGATATGAAAATGATTTCTGACTTCTCGCCTTTTCTTGAATCAAAACAATATTATGTATATTTTGATCTCAACTGAATTGCATTTTAATTAATATGTAGTATTACGAATTTTAAAATATTACTTACCAGATTCATTTTCAAGAAATGGCAACTTCCAGTTACACTGTACGGAGAATCCAAGAGATGTGATGTCGTAGCAAAGAGATTTCTGAAGGCCTGACAGTTTTCCAACTCTTTATATACCAAAGAAAATCTAAGAACCTGAACGAATGAAATTCTGATTGATATTATTGCAATTCATGTAGTCAATCTAAGGGACCTTCCAACAAATAAAATAAACGTCAAAATCAATGTTTTGCTCTTACAATTATGGGGAAAACTTCTTGACAGAGCTTACTTTTATTTCGGCCTTCGAAGAATGACTACTTTATTTAGGGTGTTTTACGAGTTAGCGTATTTATGGTTTACGTTCTGTCACTTTCGGGGACATTCCTAATGTACGTTTGTGAGTTAGAAAATGTTCACAATGGATTTTTAGAATATTCACGTAAAAATGGAAAGCGGGAACTTGACGTGAGTCAGCGCGATTTTGATTCTTTGTTGTTTTGACACTGTAGTGAATTTTAAACAAGTTTGCATCCGTTGTATTCCTTAGCTTATTTTTTTAGCCTGTTTCGTGATACTGCAATTATAAGTTTGATTGAAAGCATAGAAAAGCATTTATGAACATATTCATTATTCATGAAAAACTTCAACCTGGATTAGGATGAAAATACATAATAATAAAACTTCCTTTCAATTATTCCTTCGTGTTTAGAATCGCACTTTTCTTCTAAAATTTAACTAGAAACTGCAAAGAAAAGATAATTTTTTACTAAAAAGCCAAGTTTTAAATATTTATTTTAACTATAGATGTGTACAAACCATCCGACAAAATTGCTCATAAAGAAAATTCATCCATTATTTTTAATCTGATGATAAAATGCGCTCATATGAGGAATGGGATTAGACAAGCTTTGGAACGCAGAGGCTCTTTCATGCATGCAGTTGAGTTCTTCGCCGAATTACTCCTTCTCATTAAAATTGACTCTTGAGATGTGAGGGTCAGCTTACAGAAAAATATTTTTCAATAAAGATATAAGGAAAAATTTTGGAAATCTACAATTATTTAGAAAGACTAGCAGGAAAATCACATTGCTTACAAATATCAAAAACCATAAGTATCCATAAATGTATAAAATTCCTGTAAGTACTAACCCATTACAATGTTTGCTACTACAAAACAGAAAAACATATAAACAAATATAAAGATGTAGTACAGCGGTATAAAATTAACTGTGTTTTTACAATCAATTCCGCAACCAGTATTGTGATGAGTTTAGTTATTGTAAGTACTTTTTAATACACTGTACTAATTCGTGAAACTAGAAAATTAATTGTCACACTACAACGTTAGTCTTGCAGTTCACGTTTGTTTCTCATCTCTTTATAGTATACTAGCGGAAGTACCCGATGCAAGTTAAGTTAGGTTGAAAGTAATGTATTTAACAACAGAGAGAAAGATACCACTGTAATCCTTCTCTAATAACGATGCAAAAATTACGATTCATAGTCATACATTTTTCACTCTGATGCGATATGGAACCCACAGAAAAAATTTCGATAGCAAAATAAAATAATCCTCTCTCATTGTATAAGCAACAATGGCACGCAGCTTTTAATGATTTTCGTCATTATAATCAAATGATCGTCAAAGTTCTATCCAATATTTCACCTATATTCAATTTTAGTTAATTAAATGTGGCAAAAGTTGATCATAGTTGATCAGAAATCAACGGGAACAAACAGAGACGCAAACAGGCATTCTTCTTTATATATATAGATTTTATAAAACTTACAAATTTTTGATTAACAAATTCTACGATTTAAAAGCAAACAGTAGCAACACTTTTCGAAATAAAGAATTTTTATCTCCAATGCGCCAGACTGTTGCCGCTCGGAAAATTGAGTTTGAAAATTAGCGTTTTCAGAGTTTTTAATTAATATCTCTGTTGGTTAAAGTTGTACGAAGATGGGAACAGTCGAAATGGCTTCCTAAGAATTTTTGGAATCGAAAATAATGTATTTAATTCTTGGCAATGCTATTTTTATTTCCTTGTAAAATTTAGAAATTTTTTATTAATAAACTCTACGATTTGAAAGCCAGCAGTGACAACAGTTCTCGAAATAAAGCAGATTATTCCCAGCGTGCGAGAGTGTTGCTACTCCGAAAAATGAAGGCGAAAATAAGCGTTTTAAGCGTTCTTAATTAATGTCTCTAGCTAGTTTTTGTTTTTGGAAAAAAAGCGGACGTCGACTTTTTCCAGGACCCAGAAAATAATAGTATATATAATAGTAATAGTAATAGGTGACAATTACTATAGTAGTCACCGTGTTATCAGCGAACAAGCAAACAGACTTTCTTCTTTATATATATATATAGATAGATAGATAGATAGATAGATAGATAATACGGTAAATTTGAAATAATGCAGTACTGGTAATTATACAATCTTATACAGAGTGAAAGTGGATTCCCCAGTACGTCTAGTATTCGCAATATATGTAACATTATAGTGTTTTATAACCTATGTAACATTATAGTGTTTTATAACCTAAACGGCAATACTGATGAACAATCTGTACACGACGTGCGTTTTCCTTGCAATTATACTTCTTCACTTTCGTTTTATTTTATTTTGTTTATTTATTTATTTGTTATTCTGTAGCAAACGTATCGAAAGAAGGTAATATTACGACTTTGATTTTAAGAAATGTACGATGATTATTCAAGTAACAAAATTTTATTGCAGTAAAAGGCATATTAGATATTAATCCCTCTCAGTTTTCCTTGTTCCGCATCTACTTATATTGTATCGAGAGAGGCATATATAAATCTTTTCCATTTTCTGAAGTAGCTGTGTGTGTCATCTTTTCATGAGGGTCTTCAGTTGCAGTTCCTTCGATATCCTGAATCGATTCAAAATCTTTGTCTTTCTTGGCCATTTTGATTTTAGAAAGCGTAAATAGCTGCGCAATGCTATGCCCAGTAAATAAAATAGACGAAGGTAGAGTATAATGTTTATATCCGGTAGAAACTGCTGTACCAGATGATATGTGTAAAAGAGGGCTTGCAAATTTCGCACTCAATCACCTCACGCTCAAAACCGCTATTAAATTATTTTGAATGCTTTCATAAATGATGCTTAGATTCTTCAAAAGGTCCCTTATAGAAAGAAATTTTGCAATGATTAGCCCTGTCATCCTATTTGATCAAATCATTTCGCTTACTCTGTAAGATCTGACTCTCTTAGCTATCATAAAGTGAATTGGATCTTACAGGAAACCTGGCGACTTCTCGCACAGACGTGAATAATACCAGCACAGCAGAAAGATAAAATAAACTCTTTATTGTTCGTTAAATTCTTAACACAATTGCACGTGTTTCGCGCTTACAATAACAACGAGGACTTGCGGTGGAACTTCAGATTAATTTCACAATAAATTCAAAGAATAGTGCTTAAATAACAATTACATTTAAGGCTAACTGCTGACTCAATAACCTTCCCAGCGATATACTTATTTAAGTGGCCAAAAAGGCGTATCTGTAACTCAGTGTAACAGCAAAGACAAAATAATAACTTGCACTGGCGAGTGAAATCACGCTCTCTGAATAAACTGCTAGATTAGTCTGATTTTATACTCACTTCACTTAACCTTAAATTTTCATTCTGGCGACGAAATGCGAGAGGGAAAATTTACAGGTTCAAGAAGGGTACCAAACTTAAAATAATTTGTTATGCAACTAAGGGAAAACCTACAACGTTTTCAACATCATCTTGGTATTTTCATGTTGAAGGTCGCCTTGATCGCTCCTGGTCCTCAATTTATTCATAACTACTAGGAAATCGCTGGACGCACTTGCAGATTTTCTTCATTGTTATGCAATATCAGAATAAGTTTAAGACCGGCCTTTAGATTTTAAGATTGCGTACCTTTCATATACCATACTGAAGTTTCAAACAAAATTTGTATTATGAAAACATATAAAGCAAAAAATGTATTATTGTTCTCTTTATTGGATATTATGACGCTTTTCCTAACACCTAAATTAAAAATAACATAACTGCTTATATATTGACTCATCCTAGTTAAAACTTTAATTTCTTCTTGAGTTGTATAAATCGATAATCAGCAGATGCTACAGATGCATACAACAGAAAGCAATTAAAAGTTTTTTTCCTCATTATCCATTAGACAGACAAGGCAACAAGAAGATGATATTTAAATGAAAGTTTTCAAATCGTCTTTAATTATGTATCATGAAACTTAAAAATAAATTTATCATTTTAGTAGGATGGGAAATAGTTTTGAATTCATTCAAAATAGTACTTATCTATTAGACTATACTGATGCAAGCTTTGGGTTGGTGGAGATTTCTTAAATAAGTACTTCAGTATGAGTAGGGAGATACTGATAATTTATCGAAATAAATATTATCAAAATATAAACCATCATAAATAGCTCAAGAAGAATAAAGAAATATGTGAAGTTCTCCTTAATTCAAAATACTGTTGTCGCTCGTACAGTAAACTCTAAAAAGCCAATTCTGAAATCAGGATTCATTTAGCTCACTCTTTGAGCTGAACAAAGTCTCTGAAGAAAGTGACTCGCTGCTCTTCGGAGTCATATTCATACAGGTTTACTGGATGCTTCCGGAAAAATCACTTTTGAGACTACGAAAATGCATTTTCTCAAAGCTTCTAACAATCTGCAAAATGCTGCCATTTTCGAGATATAAATGGACACTGAGGCCCACCTAGAAAGTTTCTGCGTATATCGTTTTAATTTTATTACGACAGTTCAAATGCTGATTGATTCCCTGACTGAGAAGTGCAAGATTTAAAGCTTTATATAAGAAATTAGCATTTAATAGCACTATACGTATCCACAAATACGATTAAAAAAATTGAAGATAAAATTTCTGCATAAAATGCAATAAATAACTAAATAAGTAACTACAAACAATGCGTAACATTATAAGAATGCATAAAAAACAAAAAAAAAAAAAAAAAAAAAGTTTCAGATTTTACATTACGCTCAAAGGCGCGGTGTTTTACCTTTTTGAGTGTTTTACCGTTTATTTATTAAATTTCATATTCTTCGCAATTAAGCCATAAAATTCAGTTCAACAGCAATATCACAAAATAATTTTTAAATGAGCATATCTTTAAAACTTCCGATACACAGTCTCTCGCGCTGGAGATAAAAATGT